CAAATTAAAAAAAGAAAGCAGCAGTAAGCTGGTAGGCCAAGACACATGTGCGCTTTGAGGCAGGGAAAGTGCCCTTGTAACACTCAATCACACCGAGGTTTCTCGTAGTCTTTGCAGCTTATTTTTCTCTGGTACTGGGAAAAGCAAATCTACACAGATTTCTCCTTCCTGGCGTCTGTATGTTGGTCTTTCATTTTGTAGTATTAATGGAGAGGAAAACAGAAAGTGAAATTTGCAGGAGAACATAATTCAGAATACATTTATTTGCTGGAGCTAGCTGGACAATACTAAATGCATTCTCCCCACTCCCACCAAAAAGAAACCTGTACCAAAAAGCTTAAATGTATTTGTACTTCTGTCCAATTTGCCAATTCTTTGGAAGAAACTAGTAAAGACTTGATTTTAATAAAGTCAGTCTTATAATAATGTAGCATTTTGGAGTGAAAATCTAAATTACCTCTGACATTTGCTCCACAGTTTAAATGCACAGAGCCTCCGTTCTATGTGAAATTTCCTACTCGTGAGTGTTGAGCCTGGCCTTCTGAAGACTGGAATTTGTTCATTCCAGCAGTGCCCTCCCACCTTGCTTTCCCTCATTAAATGTACTGGCTTAAGGGAACATCTCAACATTTCTGTTTGCTTGCAGTAGGAAAACAAAGAAGAACTGACCACCCACTCATCAATTTTAAGCACCACTTCAGGAAGTCAGCTAGGACTATCACAGCACAACAACCTTTACTTGAATTATTTTTCATAGGCTGCAAACTGTCTTAAAACATCAATACTTGGAAGGCAATAATTTCAGTCCCTATTACAAAGCGTATAGTTACCGCATGCAGGATTATGAGAACAACTTAGTTGCTAGCTAAAGCACACTACCATTCATTACGGAAGGGTCTTGCACTAGGTTTTGAGAACAGTGGTGAAAGGGTACTTAGAGAGTCTTAGACTTCCTTTTATACAATATGAAACCTGGGTCATTTGATTTTGTTAAGAAGCTACATACATTTGTGCTACCCATTTGCAAAATTAGATGTCAGTTCAATGGTCTCATTAGGCTATCTACTAGCACAAATCAAATCACAACTACAGTTACTAGATTAAAACAAACCAAAACCCAAAAAACCCACCACCTGGGAAAGCTAATCACCTGCAGTGTCAAAATTATCAACAATTTCAACTAAATTCATTAACAAGGTGACAGGCTCCTGAATCGTTGAAGGGACATTAGATCAATGGGAGCACGGCACCAGCTAACTATGGGTAACGCTGCCGTTTTTCGTTCTACTCATACGCATGTAGCTTTCAGATCAAGCGTTAGTAATTCCTCATACTGCTGCTTAGAAGGTCATCTCCGACTGGCAACCCATGTGAACGCCGCATGTTCTCTATCAGAATGCACACGCTTTCCTTTGTACTTACTATTTGACCAAGTCAAGTTCCACTTTAATAGTTAGTTCCCCAGAGATAACAACAGGCAGTTTGGAAAAAGGAATATGGAATGAATGCAGAAGAGGTAACAAAGCAGGGGGGAACCCAATAAGGGAAGCGTCCCTCTAAACAAAGGGTCTGTCATGATTCAGTTTTATCGTGCCATTTTGCCAGGCTGCACAAATTGTATTAAGGGTTTGGCCTCTGCAGAAATTGCAGGCTGTATCCCTGTGTGTATTGAGAAACGGGACTTTGTCCAATTAAGTTAAAGCCAGGCAAACATGGCTGGGGCAGAAGCCACTCCCTTACAAAAGAGCTGCACTGTGATGAAAAACCGCTCAAAACCTAAATTTACTTCTAGGTGAAAAAAGTTGAAGGGGAAAAAAAAAAATGTATTTCACCTAGACTAGAAACTCCATCATTCTGAAGTGACTACATCTGCATTTTTAAGATATTTTTCTTTTTGGCTGCACATGAATTTGATGTCATTAAAAAGGCTTCCTTTGATGCTGGATGCCAAGTAGAATCATTAGTTTCTCACAAAGGTGCGCTCTAAATGTCTAGTTTAAATTTTCATTTTCAGATGATTCATCTAAGAGATGAACAATAACAACCAAAAACAACTTCAGAACTCTAAACTGTGAAAAGCCTTTTAGCTGCACTCACTCATTTATTAACTCCCTCCAACACCTCCTTTCTGGATTCACATGGCAGTCAATACTGAGCATGAATTCTGCAACTCCTTAAGCGATATATGGCCATAAGAACCAAACCACAACCAGATTCCTTCAAAATTCACAAAAGATGTTCTTCTGAAGTCTGTACCCTGCATCCTTCTAGCTGACACAGGGTCACTTTTTTTATACAAGGATGCTTTCCACTGACACCTTTTCTAGTGTATATGCCTTGTTTTGTCACAGCTCCTCTTCATAAGTCCTCTTCAGAGGTCATTAGAGGATTAATGAAACTGAGGGACACTCCAGGGGAAGCAGCATCCTCAGCCAGTGTAGCTTCACAGGGTGGGGGGAGGCCACAAAACAGATTAATTATACCTACGTTTCCTCCATTTAAATGCAAATGTCACTGAAGTCCAAAAACAATCAAGGATTTACAGCTGATCTATGTTTCCTGATACACTGAAGACACTAGAAAGCACAGATGCTATCGAGAGCTTACAGCCTTTTTTGTAGTACAGGGTCAAAATGCTACTGAACATTTGTTTTCCCCGCCAAGAAAGATGCTTCTCTTTCAGCCCCCACTCCATCTGAGAGGCAGCAAATATGAGCATATATGTGGGATCAAGAGGAAGGCTACAACACTTCTAAAAGAACTGCCTAGAAGACAGCCTGGACAGTGAAAAACTGATGCAGAATATAGTTTTGCCATCCCTCTTCCCTAACACCTGTACAACTTCTTCGACCACCTAATTATACTGCTTTGAGGAGAAGACCTACACACTCCCCCACACATTGACCACTTGCTCAAGATGACCTGGATAGGTTGCATGCATGCTTGCCAGACCCTGCTACCACATAAGTCTATAGGAGACAGACACCAGCACACGCTGCACTACATACGGCCACACATGCTTCTTGCTAATGATGATTTTTACCTACCCGCAGCATTTCCATCAGGGTATCCCATCACCTACAGCGGGCTTTACAAGGCATGTCTGTCGTACTTCACGCTGACACTCTTGCCCTTCCCTCGACCACTGACTGGATCACTCCAGTGTCATGGCGATAGAACTTTTTTCTTTGTAGTAGTCTTAGCAGTACTTTATTGACTTGCATGAAGTTACACAACAGTCCTTCATCTCTATGAAGCAGGCCAGGCCCTCCCGGCTGGCCAGGGACCAGGGGGAAGCCACGGGAGGACAGCCAGCTCTACCTGTCTGCAGTCAGGCATGTGCTTTTCTCCTCCCTCAGATGTTCTCTTCTAGAAGGGCACAAGTGGAAAACGCTATGACCCGTCCCCAAAAACTGCGTCAGGAGGAAGAACATGCAGGATGATATCAGGGTAGATGGGCATTTCATAGGCTCTGGCTTACAACAAAATAAACCCACCATCAGTCCAGCAAACAGTCACAAAAACATTCCTACCAGAGAGAAAGTTTTTTTCCCCCCAACATGTTCTTCAGACAATGTATTACACCGTTGTCCCCCACCAACGATGCTCACGCCATCTCCCTGGACCCGGCTGTGTTTCTGTGCTTCTTTGTATCCTCATGATGTCTGTATACACTGTCCTCAGTGTTTGAAAATCATCTTCATTTTGTGACAAAGATCATGAAAGAAAAAAAAAGTAGCTGCCCACAAAAATGTTTCAGCAAATTACAAGCTTGTGAAAAGAAAAGGTCTAGCAAAAGCTCTTCCTTTGCCACAATTAGATTAGGTGCTATGACCTTCATTAAACCCTTTCTTTTGCGTAGTTATTTCATAGCATTTAATTTCCTGCCTCTCAATGATTAAACCTACTGAGAGGTAGTAGATAAAGCAAGTCTGCTTGCTGTTTCAAACAGATATATTAATACTTTACACTTGAAAAGCTTTCAAAGCGTCTTCAGATGCTGATTAGCAAACATTGTACATAAAACCATGTCTGAGGTCAGAGTGTGGCGGCAGATATGTGACTGAAACTTACTCCAACAGCTCTATTGCAATGCTGTACGCACAGGATACCTCCATTGCATACATTAAGGAAGCTTAAAGTTAAGCTTCACGTATTTAAACACTAACACAAAGTCTACTTAATGGCAGTCTTCAAAATGACAGTGGCCTCCTAATCTGCTGGAGATAAAGAAGTGCCAAGATTAATGATTACATAAGTGCATCGCAGAGCCCAGAAACAATAATCAGCTCTTCTGTTGTTATTTGTGTACAAAGGCTATTAGAGTCATCTGACATTCCAAAATCCAATTTAAAGTTGTTAAACCCCTTTCACGTTCTTATTTGAGGTTGGAAAACCGACAGGTTCGAAAAGGGAAAGGAAGGGTTTGATTTCCCACTTCTTTTCCCCTTACTGATTTTGCTCTAAGCCAAATCTCTCTCTAAGAAATGCAAAAAAATAAGCTTTTAAACAATGCCTGGAGTAACCAATATTGCTGTTGAAGGAATAATACCAATAAAACCCTAACATGCTTAGATAGCAAATTGTAAAATAATGACTACAAGCAAACCGAGTGACTATTCTATAGGAAAAGACCCCATTGAGTTGAGGGTGTCAATGACATCAGCTGCACAACTCTGACAACAGTGGCCATCTTCAGTAAATCAGGAGGGTGAGAAATTGAAGGTGCTCAGGCACCACACACCCATCTCAGTCTAGTAATGGACTCTGTGAGAATTCACTCTCTGGATTCATGCAGGCATAGTATTCTTTGCCAGAGACCAGACTGCTAACTGCAAAGAAAGGCAAGTGACAGGTCTGCAGCTTCTGTAAACAATACACAGTCAATTCTTTTTCCACAAAAATCCTCCAAAATTGAAAACAACCCTCTTTGTTTCTGACAAGACTGAAAAGCAAGTTTAGAAACCAAATGAACAAATTGGTCTTCTCCCGATTCCTACGTTGTTCCTTCGCCTCCACTGACGACACGGGGAATGGGACAGGAAAAGAGGTGGCCACATCCCTGCCCTCTCCATCCGATCAACGAGTCGCGCCTCCCCAGCTCCAGGCCGACTGCACAAGCAGGAGCGCCCGGCCGCTGGGAGCTTCGTCAGCGGCCACGCGTGCAGCGGGCGCACGGGCACGCTGCACATCGCGCTTGCCTCTCAGGGGAGCCGTCCGTTATTATCCCGTTTGTAGCACAGATCGCTGTAGCCCTGAATGCAGAGCTCCGCCCGGCTTCAAAACTCAAAGAAAGGGCAGCTGAGCAGGCCCCGGCTCTCAGACAGGAAGGTGTGCATGGCAGACAGACCTACAGACCAAACCGCTGCAACTTGATCTTGTGGGTGACGCGCTGGGGCCTTGTGCTGAAATGGCAACTCCAGCAGCCACTGCCCTTCTGGGGAAAGGACTAGCCTGGGAGCAGTCAGCCTCTGGAGACCACAGGCCCCACTCCCTCAGCTTGGTGGTGACTTTCTCTCCTTGTATCAGGAGAGAGGCGAGGTGACACCTGGGATTCAAGCTAATGAAGGTAATCATGAGAACACGTGGAAGGGAAGGGCAAGATGCCGACCGTCACAACCGAGCTCGCGTAGCGGCGGATCCGAGGCAGGCCTTCTCCTTCCCCGTTGTGACATCGGTAGTAAAACAGCCTCGGTTTCTTGTACAGCAGAACAGAGCCATTACGGACTACGTGCCGAAGTTCTTCCTTTACGGCTGTGAAATTATTTTCTAGTGTTCCCTAAGGTAAAGTCAATTAAGTGATAACTGCATCTGTGCAGAGAGTATTCAAAATGCTAATATCCCCACCCAGATAAGTCTTCAACTTTGACTGCTTATTTATCTCTAACTCTTAGAAATTATTGCCACGAATGCTCCAGTGCCTTCCCCCATTATCTTTGCAATCCTGCTTCTCCCTAACAAAAAGGCAAAAAGCATAACGCTTAAGAGCTGTACCACTCTGACCACACTGGGGAGTAAAATGATACGAGCAAAGAAGCATCAGCTGATCTACTGCAGTGTAGCTAACTGGCGTATTTTGCCACTTTCAAAGTTGTTCAGCTTTTCATCCAACCTACAGAGGTAAGAAAATCTGCTGTACCGTCAGAGGCTCACATACTCTAGAAATAACAGCAGTTTGCATCATGAATTATCTAACACGATTTACCACTCAGGGAAAAGAAAAGCTGTCACATTCGGTGTTTTTCCATTTGGCCACCAGACTCTAAAATTTTAGTGTTTGTTATCTCTGAAACAGAGAGAGCACAATGCTGGTCCCAGGCACTCGGCTGTAAGATGGCTTCCTTACCTCAACATGGGATGACGCACGCCTCTGGTCACACGTGTTCTATGTGTCCCCATGTTTTTAAGTGAAAACAGCCCCCACATTGAAGCTGGAAAACCCAATGCTGAAAGCAAAGGAACTTGATGTGCTGACTTACCATCAACATTTATATGAACACCTTAATATTTTATTACTTTTGTTTATTAAAATCACAAAATTGCAAAATGGCCACCAAGAAAACCCAAAACAGAGAATACTGACACCTTTTTCAAACAAGTCTGACAGTACAGTAAGGAGAGGACAACCCTATGTCCCACAGAACCAAGCAGAATACACGCATTTGGTAGAGTATGAATAGGAGATTACAGAATAAAATGACTGAGTCAACTGTTGCTAAATGCATTTAGATTAAAGAAATGTATTAATTTAACAGATTAAAAGGAAAAACCCCAACCTGCTTCACATGGTTAACACTAGGTTCTAATGGCCAAATCACCCAACAAGGTAGACGCTGGCAAGTAGTGAATGTATTGGATTTGTGTTTCCTCAAATAAAGGAGGCTTGACAAAAGTTAGAAGAAAATAATAGAAACAGCACCTGTATTACTGTAATCATTTTACGCAAAGACAATCCAAGCCATTTAATGAGCTAAGCTTCATCACTTTGTCAGGACAAGAAAACAACCTTGTAACCAAAGCTGAATGAAGCCATACAATAACTTACCAAGAATGACGAACATAACTTTTCAAACCTTTGAAGACGGTCTTTAGCCATCATTCTTGATGATGTTTCTTTCTATGCTTGTGTTCTGCACACATCAGAAAACAGACAAGAACGAATGCCAGGCAAGTCCAAATTGGTACCATTTTAACACTATGCTATTTTAAAAGGCTGACAGACAGTCAGTTACTGTACCGTCCTTGATGAAGACCCAAAACGTTTAACCAGAACTCCCCCATTCCTACTCTCGGAAGAATACCTGCAGCATAACTTGGATTATCCAAAGCTCCCAGGGGACAAACAGAAGCAGAGATAAGTGGGGGAGCAGCCAGAGGTCTGAGAATAATGGAAGGGAAAGGAGAGGAAATAAACTCCACAAACAAGAACTGTTGGCTCAGCTCAGCCCTAAAGTTTCCCTATTCCTGAATGGAGCATTCATAAGTAAAATAAGCTTCTCTAAGCAAGCACTCCAAATGATTGTAAAAACCATTTGACAAAGTGAAGAATTATGGTTCGTTTTGGTACTTGACTCTCCAGAGAGACAGCCAGCTGTTGTTCTTACAGCAGCAATTTATTAACCAGTGGTACAGCTGTAACAATGCTCCTGGTAGCGTCTCGATGGTTAACAAGCAGCCAGATTCTTTCCAAATATGTGTTTCCCAAAGTAGTATTTGGAAAACATTGCTAGAAAAAGTTCCAAACTGAGTGAAAAAAAAAAACCAAACACAAAACCAAACAGATATATCACAAGCCTTAATCCCAGGGCAGCACATCCATGTAGAAGAAATCTGTCTGGGGAGTTGTGGGTGCTTTATGCAGAAAGTACAAGTTTTTATTTATATTACTGCAGCACAAGTTAATGCCAATTAAGTAGGAGAGTCACTTTGGATTTAGCACAGAACCTGGCCCAGGGCACTGGCACACAGAATAGAAATAAATACTAATCATGCTTGCTCACACTGAGAGGATTAGATAACTACAGACGTAGGAAATTAAAACCACAACAAGATGACCCCACGCTTGTGATTTCCCTGTTGTACCAGATCAGTCAATATGAATAATCGACAATGTAAATTGAAATCCTCAGATAAAAATAATGGTTTTACCGCTTTATTTCTCTTCGCTTGCACATAAATTGAGTTGACTATCTCTGACAATGCCATGGTTTAATATTCTAAACACACTACCTCCTTTAACAATGCCTGGAATAGAAACAAGCTGCTGAGCCAGATCCTCAAGGGGTGAAAATCAACATTGCCACACTGACTTCAGTGGAAGCACATTGATCTCCACCAGCTAAAGCTTTGGGCCCTAGTGGGCAATTAGGTTTCTATTATATGCTAATTTAAATAATGTACCACAGAACATTTGCTGTACAATAAAGCAAGTCTACATTCTTTTGTGGAGAAGGACAAGCATTTGCTGTGGCATGATGAGAGTTATGGATTCTGGCTTCAAAGAGCAGGATGAAGTTTCGGTATAAACTACTCCTCATAATAACATTTTTAAACCTGCAATTACTCATACTATACTGCTTTAGGAAGCCTGTAATTATTTGGTAAGTTCTTACCAATGTCTAGTCTAGATCATAATTGCTAACACTGCCTCCTTCAAAGGAACTAGGGACTATGTTAAAATCTGGTTTTTGTTAGGTTCCTACTACAAAAAGTGGTTGTGCTGTAATGTTACGATCTGTATTCAGTGGAGGAGGAAAACCAAACTGATTTATGTCCCAGTCTTGAGCCTTTGAGCAAGGCTTGAGCAAAAAAACGAACATAACAATCCCACACACGTTTCTTTTGAGGCTTCTGAGATGGCTGGGTTGGAACAGGGACTGTGGCTGCAGCCGACACAGGCTGGAGCTCTTTTGCAACAGAAGTTAATGGCACTGAGGACCATCTGCAACACCTTCTCACTCTCCCAGTGAGGCCGCGCACTCCAGCCAGAAGACAAAAAAGCAGAAAAGTGGGAGGACAGGGTTCAGCCAAAAAGACAGCAAAAAAGATTTTCAGGGTGTTATAGGGCAATTCGGGTGAAAAGATACCACCCCTGTGTAAAAAATGTTAACGGCAGTTAAAGAGAATGTTTTGTTCTCTTCTGTAGCGATTTCTTACGTACAAGAACTTCTTTCAGTCTCCTTTTAAATGTCATTGGCACCCTTCTTCCTGCCTTAGTCATCAACAACCAAGTTAGTCCCTGCCTAAAATTTTCTGGACCTCTGATGTAGTCAGGATGAGGGCATCATTCCACACTTACAGGTTCTCCTACGCCACAGTCCTTCAAGTGAAGCAGCAGGGTTCAACACATACCCTGTTCTCAAAGCACACCTTGGTGCAGCAGTTTGGAAGCTCTCTCAATGCCGCTTTTGAGAGAGGGATCCGCAAAACAGGGGCTTCTCCCCGTATGTGTGACTCTCACCTGAAAGTCATAGCAGAAAGCTCCTTGAGTTTTTTAAAAAACTCATGTTTTATGCTAAAGAGTATAAAACATGCATGCAATTCCAATTTGTCTTGTTTTCTATGGAACCACTCAAGACAGGAAGGCAAAGTAATGTGGGCTCACGTAGGTCAAAGTGGTACAAGGTGAGATGTGGTATTAAGCTGCAACACTTAAACTATGTGATTCCCTTTATAAACGTACTTATCCCAGTAATAGTGCTCTGCTCTGCTGCATTTGTAACTCCTCAGAAATAGTTTAATTTCAAAGAGAAAAAAGCTTATACAGAGTCAAGCGTTTTTAATGATAGCAGCCACACAAGAAAAACTTGCTGCACAGGGAAGGTCTAGAACGTCACCACAGTAGGAACTCATCCAAAGCTTCCTCTGCGCTCTGGACTTCTCAGCTGCCCTGCCACCGTGCTTTGGGTGGCCTCTACAGACACGGGGGAAACTCACAGCATGCAATCTGCACTCGAAGGAAAGAAGAAACCAGAACTGACTTTGGTTAAGCTTTTGATTTTGTTTACATGCCCAAGAGGGAAAGGAGAATACAGAACTCGACCCCACTAACTCCAGAAGCATTTTAGCCAGCAGAAATCTCCAGTCGTTGAAGAGAGCTGGCCTCCCCTCCCTCTCCCAGTGCCTGTACAGCCGTGCTGCAAGAGCCAAATGAGGGAACGACTCAGGCTGAAACTGGGGGATTAACTTTAAC